GACACGCTTCGCACATGTGCAGTTTCAATGACTGTTGTTGATTCCCGCAAATACGTGCAGTGGTCCTACCATTATAAAGCTATGCAGGTTTTCCAAACTTATAGAGAATACCTAGGGTATAAATTAAGGGAACAGTGCATAAATCAATTACCTATAAGGCTATAACTATCATTAAATATACCTAAGTATTTTTTTTGTTATAAACGAATAAATTTACAAATATTGAAAATTTTCAACACTGATATTTATCAAAACAATTTGTTTCTTTGTGCATGAGTTAAATAGTATTGAAAATTTCATAATTTTTATTATATAGTATTTAGTGATACCTTATAAAGGTATAWCAAAAATTATGATAATGATTATAATAACGTTAGAGATAATATTATATTGAGTACCTAAATAGTTGTAATACTATATTGCACAGATGGCCAACATCAATAATTTGTTCGTGAGCCTTGTGTATAAATGCAATGACATCAAGAGCCAAAATATTTATAAATACATTTTATAATTTTTTATACTATAATATATTATATACCTATAATATATATTATATATATTTTTGTTTGTTAATCTRTATTCTATAGACTTATATATAATATATAATGAAAAAGTTTATTCTATAAATATAAATGAAAAAAAAAATTAAAATTTAAGTTTTTGTAAATACAACAGAAGCAACATACAACAATGAAATCGGCAAAATTGGCGATCCCTACTATATTGTCAATAAGTGTTTTATGTTTAATTAACAAATGGTCTTRTAACTTTGAAAAAATGAATAATTACAAGATCTATGAAAAAATTATTAATTTTTTACATGGTAGACGCATTGTTTCCAAAAGTCCAAATCAATACTGTATATCAATTGGAAATCATGTCTAATTGAACAGGTTATAATTTTAACATGCAAATAACACAGCACAATTCCTGCAAAACCTCTCACCCAATCACCGTTAAGTATTTATTTTAGTTTATGAAGGAAATGTTATACTTACACTTTGAATGATGCAACATGGGATATAAATTAAAATTGAAACGTCTAACAAGGGAAAAGGCAAGAAAACTAAAAATAAAAAGATAAGCTCTGTCAAAGGGTGAGTGGGGTTAAGGGTCGAGTGAGGGGGCGAGTTGAGAGGTCATGTGATCGCACCCAAAATGGCGGCTGAATGTCTATCGACATCGTTCACTGTTTTAGTACCAAAACAAAAAAATTCTACGTTGCACCGCTAATCAAGGACCCATCGATTCAAAATTATATACTTACATAGAACAACTTTTTTTCCGAAGTAGAAACAAAGAAATGACCACCACACCGAATCAAATCGATTCGACGCCGCCGGAACAACGGAAAAAGTAAATGGCTTTTTTGAGAAACAAAAATGCCCGATGCTTGATCAAAGTCCAGGAGTTTCTTCATACAAATATGCTGAATAATTATTCAGTAGCAATTGGACGGATACGGGCAGCGGCAAAAATTTAAAAATGAACGTCTCAACTCAAACGTCCACCGAACAGTAGTCAAGACACTCAGACACTATCGAGTGTCGACTTCTTAATGAGTAATGAGCAGTGGCGATGTAGATAGCTGAAATAGCCGATCCGACAGCGCTATACCGACGCTAGAGATGCAGTTAAAAACTCCGATCGATGTTCAAAACAAAATAGTAAATACAAATATAATTTAATAACATTGTTGATATTGTTGATAATGAAAATGAGAAACGAGCATTGCGCCGAAGCCGCCRGAGAAGGTTGCCAAAGTGTCCCGACGAAAATGTAAACAAAAATAATAATATTATTACACATTTAAACGGCGACCATGATCCGATGGTGATACTCCAGTTCCAGTAAGTTCTCCCGGGAGAACTAGTATGTTCCCTGTGCCGATTATTCTAAACATTGTGGTGGTGGCACTGATCGAATGACGTTACCCACACTGTTCAGTCTTCCTCCAATTATATGGTCGACGCGCCCAGGCTGTCCAGCCTTAAATTTGTGGTCGGATCCACTAAAATTTTGATAAGAAAACTGGATAAGAAGCACATGCACTAGCCACTAATTGTCAGCGAATTTGGTGTTGTAAGTTAAAATATTTTCATTAAAATATTAAATCAACTATTTTTTTTATTCTACTCAAACAAATTCAATTCGACAATTACCAAGATGATGTCCCAAAGTGGTGCTCCGATTTTAGTATTAAATGCCAACACAAAAAGAAAGTTTGGACACAAAGTCCAATTGGAGAACATTGCTGCAGGTAAATTGTCATCTTTTTCTATTTACTTCCAACTGTTGTTAAATTAATTTTATTATAGTTTAATGATAAAATTCTTTACCAGACACTTAAATATTCTATATTTATTACCATTAAAATTGAAATATTCCCTTTAAAAAAAATATCTGGTGTGAGTTTACGAATCATTAAAAATATTATATACTTTGTTAAGCGAACCTAACAAAAAATGTTGATGATACATTTTTAAAAACGCGTGGAATATGTCCTATTATACATTTCTTTATTTGACCTATTTATATTTGTTCGGTATCAAATAGTTTTTGTAATTAAACTTACATATTATTGTATATTATGATTTACCTCATATGGTCTAAAAGTTTTTAAAACTTCATTCCCACTGTTTTTTTCAACAAATTTACTACATTAAGAAGACAATGAAAAATAATTGCAATATATTACATACCTAGTACATAACATTTTAAT